TGAAAAATCTCATTTAATCGCCTCTGAGTGTGGCACCCGGTCGAGCATTCCAGACGACTGCCTTCACTGGTCGTCCAGCTGAGCCTACCAAATAGGTCATACGTCTCAGCATGGGGCCAGGCTACTGAATTCCTCCCATCCTCTGAAAACATAGTCAAACTATGAGTTCCGACCGCTAAGGTATACTCCTGACTGGGTACCCTATTCGGGATATCCATCACGTACAAATATCTTAATGACTTAATGTGCATATGAGAATTAAATATTCTAAAATTTGATTAACTCTCGAGTTTTGTTTGAAATCATAATTGACTTTTGCAATTTATGTTAATTGGATTTCTACACAAATTAAAATGTTAGTTACATATGGGGTTTACTCTACATTATTATACTTCTTTATATGTTTATTAGTTAGTTTAGTTCCGAATACTACTACTCCCTCCATCCCATTTTATGTGTTTAGTTCCGTTAATGATGCTTGACTGAAGTTATTTTTAATTCAATTTTTTCATAATATTAAGTTTAGTATTAATATACAAAATTTATATATTTAGAAACTACACTAAAAGTACTATTAAACACAAAAAAAAAAAAAAAATCAAATTTAAAAATAAGTAAAAAATAATAAGGAAAAAAAAAACAAAGAAGTTATTGGTTTGATCAATGAATAGTAAGTAAGAGTGTAAGACAGATAAAACGGGACAGAGAGATTACAAATTAATGGGAAAAAATTAATTAGACAATGTCTGAAGAGGTTTATATACACACAAAGACACAAGTTATATACGATTTTGTTTGTGGTAAAAATCAAATTGGAAATCAAACTTAAAACTTTGCGGTTGTCAAGTCAACAATTTTAACCAACTTGATTAAAATTGTCCACTTAGATTCATAAAGTCATTCATAAACTCTTGACATTACATGTTCCCGTCATACACATGTACAAAAACACATTGATGGTGTTTGGTAAATAGTTGTTAGCTGATTAGGTTAATGGATTTGACTAGTTGATATCATTAGCTGATTGTAGAAAAGTGTTTGGTAAATTAGTTATTATCTAATAGCTGATTACATGCAAAATGATTTTCTTAAAAACTTGATCTAAAAAACTACTTTGAGTAGATTTTTGAATTTTAACATTTTGGAACAATAAGTTAGTACAAAAAATTATTATTATTTTTTTTAATGCTACTAATTCTATTACCAACTAAACCGGATTACCGTCTATGCTACCAACTGATAATCAAATATTCATATTGATTGTTTAACCAAGTCAAACAGTTAATAGTGATCAAATAAGTCAAAATTAAATGATAAACTAATTAACTATGTTATCAAACATGGCATTGTCATTTATAACAAACATGTATGATCAAGTGCATACTATTGATCCTTAAAAGAAATGCATACTATTGGGAGACTATCGATATTTACAATTTAATTTTGGTGACATTTAATTTAATATTAATAATTAAAATTTATATATTTGAAATTGAGTTAATACCGAAAATGGTCATCGATTATGCTGATTATTTATTTAGTTTGTCTTAGATAACTTTTGTGACCTAATTTAGCCCCAAATTTGTGCATTTTTGCTTAATATAGTCCTCTCTTTGCATTCCCATGTTATTGCTATTAAATTGAAAGACATTTTGATAATTGTAAGACTTTATTTCTTAATCATCATTTTCAACATCATCTTTCCACAAAACTTAATATTGTTCATATCAAAATATTATACTATTTTATAATAGGGGAAATTAATATTTTGGTCCTTCAATTGTTTTTCAACTGTCAATCTAGTCCATAGTTTTCAATTTCAACCAATTTGATAATCGAATTGTATAAAAATTTATCAATTAAACCCTTTCATGGACTAAATTAACGAAATTTTAAAAATCATGTTGGTCCCTGAAAAGGTTTAATTGACGAAATTTTAAACAAGGATCAAATTAGCTAAAATTTAAAACTATGAACTATATTGACAATTAGAAAACAATTGGAGGACCAAAATGGGGATTAATTCTTTACAATATAGGGAAAATGGCGAGTTTGGTCCTGAGTTATAATGGTAGTGACGGCTCAGTCCCTGAGTTATGATCGGTTCCATTTTTAGTCCCTCAGTTATGAGCGAAGCGGCGCATTTGGTCCCTGACCGTTAAAACTGACGGAAAAATTTAAAAATATTTAAAATTTTAGGGGTAAACTACGAAATTCACATTTTATTCACTTTCTTATATTGAAACCACTTTTGCAACATTATTTTCAACTTCCTAGCATTGTATTTCAAGGTTCTTCAATTCCAAAAGCAATTCAATAATCTTCTTAGGGGACTTGTTAGTAACTTGAGTCTCGTATAAGGAACTTATGACTCAGTACAAACAAGAGAACACTTGATCATTGACTTCAAGCATGTAAAACACACCATCCAAGTTTTTGATTTCCCTTACTAAACATAATGGTAATCAAATCATAACTTTTGAAAATACAAAATATCAAATTTCTCAGTTATTCTTATGACAAATTCACCAAGGGAGTAACTTGAGATTTTTAATACGTAAAATTCTTTCGTAAACTCTGCAGTAACTTAATCAAGAATTGTATATCCTGACAATATTTGAAAATTATATTATATATATATCCATCACTTCATCTGTCTTCTTAAAAACCAGAGTAATGAATGAAGAACCTAATAAGACTCAGTTATGAAAATTCTAAAAACTTTTGTAACTTTTCAAAACGACATACTAAAAATATCAACTTATTCCGTTGGTGAATTTCTCATAAAAGCAACCTGAGAAATTTGACATCATTTTGTATCTCAAAAGTTCTGGTTTGATTACCTTTGTTGCTTAGTAAATAAAATTGAAAATTGATAGAATAGTGTGTTTCACACGTCTAAAGACAATGATCAAGTGTTTCTTTGTTTGTGCTAAGTCTTAAGTTTGTTATACGAGAGCCAGGTTCTTAACAAGTTATACTAAAGTTATTGAAATGCTTTTAGAACTGAACAATCTTAAAATAAGAAGCTAAGAAGTGAAAAATAATGTTGTGAAAGTGATTTTGATATAAGGAGAATAAAATGTAAATTTTCTACTTTACCTCTCAAATTTTAAATATTTTTTTTTTTTTTAATTTTTCCGTTAGTTTTAACGGTCAGGGACCAAATGCACCACTTCGGTCATAACTGAGGGACTAAAAATGGATACGGTCATAACTCAGGGACTGAGTCAAAATTTGGGTATAACTCAGTGACCAAAGATATAATTTTTCCTACAATATCTACTATACTAATAAGAGCCCAAGAGAGTTAGGCCTATAATGGGTAGAAAAAATGGCGGTCACAGATTTTAATCAAATGAATGGCTCAGATTGATAAGATTTAAATTTTACACTAAAATTTCCTAAAATACCCACACACCGTTACTAATTCCGTTAAAATTTTAAGAATTGTCGTTAGTTCACCGTTAACTTACTCATTGATTTCAATAAAAAAAAAAGGTCTTAGGTTCGAACCTCATCCCAATCACTGATTGACCTTTGATTATATTCGCTACATTGTCCTTACAATGTCTTAATTCAGTGAAAAAAAATTATTCATTATCAATAAATTAATTAAGAGAAATATTTTCATTAGTTATATTGTCTTTATTTTTCTCAAATGTAAAAATTTTTACATTCAAATTCATCAATTGATTATATTCACTATATTGTCTATTATCTTTTTTGTGCACTATTTTTCTAATTAAATATCAAAGTTATAATACAAAATAATGCTATATATTTATTTACCAAGTATTTTATTAATACCATGAAAAAATATATAATTAATAAAGCCAACCATATTAACTACTTGAGAGATTTTGTGACAAAGAGAGTATTCAAATCACACAACAAATTGAAGTGAGAACTATCCTGCAATGTCCTTGTTTGACAATCAGCAGTTAGCGGATTTGACCAACGAATTTATTTAATTATTAACATTGGGTAAAAAAAATGACCGCCAAATTATTAAATCAAATGAATGGTTCAAATTGTTCAGGTTTTAATTTTTTTTAAAAATTTTTCTAATTTATCCTTAATTATATGATTATCCATTTAACTTTTCCTTTAAATACCATTAATTCACCGTTAGTCTAATTCTAATATTAACGTCTAATATAGAATTATAATTACACCATTAATCTAATTCTAATATTAAAGTCTTAATAGAACTCAACCACAAATCCTAATGTCGAAATCTCCTCAAACAATATTAGTATATATTTAATATTTTATGTCCTAATTTTTATTTGTTCTCCCTTATGTCCCGTATTTGGTTTCAACCATACCTATACAATTATTTTATTGATAATTATAATCAATCTTGACTATATTATCTTGCATTTGTAAACTTAGAATTACCTATTTAACCCGCACGGGCTTAGCTCAATGGTTTAGTGGGCAGTATTTGGGAAAAGAGACCAAGGTTTGAACCTCGGCGGCGGCATTGCGGGAATTATGTCCAAAGTGGGCAGATTCCTTGTTCGCACCGGCATTTGGTCCTGTCTGCTGAACCATTGAGTCACCGTGATTTACAACTTCCTACAATGCTCTATCGGGTCAGAGTGTGGGGGGCTCTTGGGGTAGGGGACTCAACCTTTGAGAGAAGAATTACCTATTTAAATACGAAAATTCAACCTTCAATTATCTATGCATGAACAATTTCAATATAATCTTGCCGTAATATACTTTAAAGTACTTATTTAAAAAAAAAAAAAAACATTGGACATTATCCCAATCACGCAATGCGCGTAAAAAACTAGTATAATATAAAAGTTCAATTTTAAATTTAAATGAAATATTGAATTTTAGATTCTTTGTGGTAAGAAAATATACTAAACCGGATTACCGTCTATCCGAAGTACTTGAATTCTTAAAAAGAAAATGTTAATTAGAAGTTCTGAAAAAAAAATAAAATAATAAAACGGTCTAATAATACAGGAGAAAGAAGAACAACTCCATTATCATCTTCATTTTCACCTCCACTTCCTTGAAATCCTCAAAAGAACCCCTCTGCTGAAAAGATCCACATGATTATTCTCTTTCTTTTACTGCGATTTGATGCAGTGAGGACTGTGCTTTTTACCCTGTGAACTTTTCTTGTGAAAGTCTCTTACCTTTATTCGGCATTGCACCGACACAACTATTTCCGGGAAGTATTCTTACTTCTTCAGTTCCATTTCTTGTCCTACCATAAAATGTGGCTTCTTCAGGGATATAAGACAAAGGGGTTTTGTAAATTTTCGAAATTTAGATCGATGGGTCGGTGGGATATGGTTCACTAGTGCTATTCGTGAGTGTATCAGAAGAAATTTAAGGTTTTTGGTTTCAAGTTTATTTTGCATTTTTTGGTGAGAAATGAGTGATAGAGGAGGAATGGCTGCTTCATCCTTAGCTGTAACAGAGAGGAAACCTCAGAGGACCGGCGGCTATACCGGAATTTTCTTTCAGTTGTTCGATTGGAACCGTAGATTCGCCAAGAAAAAGCTGTTTTCCAAGAAGCTACTTTCACCAGGTTGGCTATTTTAACTCTCTTTTTTTCCTTAATAGTTCATGTATTTAATGTATTATTCTGTAACTATGTGTAAGAATTAGAAACCTTAAATTGTTTTTTCGTTTATGTGTATGTTGCATTACCTTAGTTCGGTCGAAACAAGGCTCAAAGAAGTTTGGAGAAGACAAGAAGCAAGCAAAGCATAGATTGGTATGCACTTTATGAGCTAATTTTGAAAGCATAGAACTGATTCGAGGCTCTGTTTGGCATACATACATAGCTTAAAAGCCAGTAGCTATTAACTTATTTTGAAACGCTACTAAAATAAGCTATTATTTTAAGCTCTATATGTTTTATGGACAAATCTTATAGCTTATTTGTGACTTAAATAAGCTATAAGTTCTAAAATAAACTCTACCGAACAGAACTCTATAGTGTCTTTAGTTTTGGAGTCTAATGGAGTATGAATGATATATATAGATTGCTGATGAGAACAGTGGGGGCTTTCCTAATGTTAAAAACAACATGGTTTGTGAGAAGAAGCCTGATATGAGATCTCCCGGATTGGTTGCTAGGCTCATGGGGCTGGAATCGATGCCAGTAGTGCCACGGGATAGGCCAAAGAAGGTGTCGTTGGATGGAACCGTGAGTGGTAAAGGAGAGAAACTTGGTAATGATACAGACAAGTCTGGAGGGGAAGAGCAAAAGTTTGGAAAAATGGGGGCGAAGCAAGAGTTTAGGCCTCGGAAGTTTGACAATATGGGAGTGAGTGAGAGACAGCCGGTTTCTAGATTTGGAACTGAGGTATTGCAAATAAAGAGTATGTTATCGCAACCTAGGAAGAACCAAGCGAAGCTTGCTTCTCCCGTAGTGATTCCTAGGAATGTGTCAGCAAGAAACGCGTCTTGGTTGGTGGGCGCTGCAGCTAGGATATTGGAGCCCGGGCTGCAGAGGAGTAGGATGAAAACTGCATTAGCTTACACGAACACTTTGCATCGACCTAAGCAAGAGGTAGTGTCGGAGGAGGCACCAGACGTTTCAGATTGCTCTATGTACTCTATGGGCTATTCCAACCCAGTGAAACATTCTTGTAAAAATTGCGGTAATTCTCTTGACATTATTGACTATAGAGCAGATCTAGAAGAAGAACCATCCACAATTCATTCACCTCTTTCAAATTGCACCGAAACTTGTCAAGTTTCAAAAAGAAGTATGCCGAGAGAACACATATTTTCCACTCAAGAAACTGAATTCAAGAAGAAACCGACTAACGGAGGCCTAACACCAGGGCATTTGACTAGCCAAGGGCGGAAGTTACCGAATAATGGCTCATCTCTTGGTCTAATGCACAACACTCAAAAACAAATTGGAGAAATGGAAAACTGGAGGAATGGAGAAGGAAAACTGGAGAAATGGAGAAATGGAAAACTGGAAATTGAAAAACAGAGAAATGAAGTAAACGACCCCATAGTTCCTCCAAGGTTGCAATCAAGGAGTTTGCAGAGCAAAAGAGTACCCTCAACGGCTAAAGCCATCAATGAGACAACAAATTTTGTTGCAATGAACAAAAGCTTAAGTGGGCAGATCCGAACGATAGTGCCAACAAGAGCAGATATCTATAATTTTGAAACGGAGAGAAGATTTCATAATAGAAGTGATTCCTTGTCAGCAGTTCAAAAGAGAAGGTTAATGAATACTAGAGAAGATGGAAGATTTTCCTTGTTGAAAGAATCTAGTGGTGGTTCCAATTCAACGAGGCAAAAGGAAATTGTACATCCTACACGTCCTATCAATCGGTCTTGTACTGAAAGTAAATTGGCACATCCACAAGAACCTAGTGAAATTTGCAGTAGACACAAACCCAGTGACAATAAATCTCCAGTAAAACAGAAGACTAAGATGCATGCAGAAGCTACAGGAAGGATGACCAGAAATAACTCGTGTTCTGATAGTACTCCTGGAAAATTGATAATGAAGGAAAGTAATGATAGTAAATGCTCTCGTAAACCCTTTGCTTTGAGGGGAGACAGATTGGGTGAAATTCTGGAGCAGAAGCTGAAGGAACTGACTTGCCATGAGGACGAGTTTGCTGCAGGAGTCACTACACCAAGAAAAACTACTGCTGTGATTCTTCAGGAACTAATTTCGGCATTAACAGAAGAGACACAACTTCATTGGGATGATTTTTCGGATAAATCTAACAGGGAAAGTGGTCTTAGTCATCCTACAAACATGTCACGTGAAAATGCTTCCAGAAAAGTCCAGGTGAGTGTTGTTCTTGGGTTATTTTAAGCCAATTTTCCCAACATTTATAAATTGTTAATGGTATTGATGGATTACTCAGTTCATATTTCAGTACTAGTTACTCATACAGCTTTTCAAATATTCAATTCTTTGTGTGTGCCCAGGCCAAAGAGAAGTCAGCCACAGATTCACGTGATATTGATCACTTCAGCCCGGGAACTGTTCTTGAAGATCCATTTTCTTCAAACGACAGTTGCTTCTCCAGCAGTCTCGATGAATGTTCAAGTACGAACTGTTCTTCATATTTGCAATATTTAAAGATTCTATACCTCACCATTATAAAGTCTATAACTTTTGCTTCCCATGTTCAATTTCTAGGGGATAAATCGATCGTTGAATCTATAGATTTCTACCACGATGAATCACGTTCATCAGATCCCAAGGCAGATCATCTGGTCTCCGCATCCCATTCAACCACAGGGGTTGCTGACCTTGTTAACAATATTCCCGAAGTTCTACAAAAAATCAATCTTTCTCACGGGCATTTGAAAGGCAGCAAGCTAAGCCATGCAAAGGAGGTACTTTTGAACGCTGAACTAATGCTTGGAAATGCAGCTTGGTGCAATCCTGCTATAGATAAAGGCTTTTCTGCAACACACTTTCTCATTTATGAACTCGAAACGCTGGAAAATGCTATATGTATGAGCTTCAACGCGTTTCTTGGTTTTGAGGATGCCAAACATGAGGACCGACTTAGAGTATTTATGTTCGATTATGTTCTGGAGTATCTAGACTCAAAATTTAGTCGATACTCTGAATCGGGTTTCAGAGCCTGGACGAATCTACTGCCTTGTTTGAACACAGAGATGCTGGTATCTGAGATACTCAAGGAGTTGAAAATGTGGATGGGATTAGCTGGGTTGGTCCCTGATGAACTAATAGAATGGGACATGAGTCATTGTTTGGGTAAATGGACTGACTTTGAGATAGAATTATATGAGAATGGTGTTGAAATTGATAGGGATATCCTCCATAGTTTGGTAGATGAAGTTGTATTAGACCTTTGTCTTGCACTCTGAGCCAGCTTCAAGTGATCCCTATCCTTGTACAAAATTTAATTACTTTGATTTGATATTTATTTAATTTATTAACTTTAGTTGTTTTACTTGGCCATTTTGCATTATAAGCTTGAATGTTCAGTGGTCATATTAAGTAATGTATGAAAAAGTGATATAAAGACTACCCTTATACAATAATAATAACAATAAAAACCAAAGGTAGTAGTATCATTTGATCTAATTTTCCTTTCTCAAATTCATTGCATTGCACCTCATAAATTACAATTCAGCAAAAGGAAAAATTGTAATTCCCTCTAACCAAACACTGTAATTCAGGCCTCTATTGAATTACAATCAAATTACATATAACCAAACGCCCTGTTAAATTTTAATTAAGGGTTGCCAAACAAGGAAAATAATATTTTTCAGACTTTTAGCAAAACAAAAAAGTGAGGGGCTGTTGTGCAGAGTAAGCATGTTCAGCTGAGTATGCGAATGCGATAAGTCTTTCGTGGACGTTCTTGATTTTTACAGTACTATTTTCGAAAGCTTAAATGAAGAAATTCTAAATTCAGATACCCATATATGAAAATCTTGAGCTATATCCTTGGAAGATTCCATGTCTGCAAATCTTTCTTTCTGCGCTCAATCAAGCACCCTCAACTTTCCGTATAATCCCGTCTTGAACCGCAAACCAATTCTCCATTTCTTGTTTCCAAAAGCTAAAATCATTGCCAGCTCCGACCACCCTACCCCCAACGTTGGCATTGATCCTAAAAAACAAGAAACTAATCATTCCAATTCAGCTATCAAAGCACCCACGGCTCCGTGGATGAAGGGTCCGCTTCTCGTGGAACCCAATCAGGTCATGCGCTTCTCGAAACGGAGGAGGAGTAGGAAAGACTCCACCTTTATCCAAAACGAAACCCCGGATAAGGCATTGACGAGTAAGGTGAGTGGAGGAAGAGGCAAGAAAGCGATGAAGAAGATTTTTCACCGCATTGAGAAACTTCAAGAAACTGTTGACTTGGAAGAGGAGAGTTGGGAAACTGAGGAAAAGGGAAAGTTCAAATTTACACCCGGAGCTTTGTGGGGAGATAAAGATTCAGACTTTGAGGAGGAAGTGGAGGAAATGGTGGATGTTCCTCCAACTTTGGAGGAGATTAGCCATGGAGGGAGTGAAGTAAAAGGGATTAGGAGAATGCCATGGCAGAGAGAGGAGGAGGGGATTGTGATTAAGAGAATGAACACAGAAAAGGCAATGACGGCTGCTGAGGCGATTCTTGATCGAGAATTTCTTGAAAGTTTGAGGGATAAGGCTGAGAGGATGAGAAAATGGGTGAAGGTTAACAAGGCTGGAGTGACTCATGATGTTGTTAATCAAGTCCGCTTGATTTGGAGGACTGATGAACTTGCCATGCTCAAGTTTGATGTGCCTTTATGTCGAAACATGGCTAGGGCTCGCGAAATTGTTGAGGTTGTAGTTCTTATAATGTCTAATACTATTATTCTGCTGAGATCTCATTTATAATTCTTTTCTGCTGATATGTTTATAAGCAGATGAAAACTGGGGGCCTTGTTGTTTGGAGTAAGAAAGATGCTCTGGTTGTTTATAGAGGGCACAATTATCAGCTAGGGTTCTATGCTTCTCCAAAGAAAAGTCGCAATCTTGTTGATGATGGACAGAATTCTTCATTGAGTGGTGAAGAGGAGAGTGTATCAATTGATGGATCACTCTATGAACGAGAAGCTGACAGATTGTTGGATGGTTTAGGGCCTCGTTTTGTTGATTGGTGGTATCCAAAGCCTTTGCCAGTGGATGCTGATTTGCTTCCCGAAGTGGTTCCGGGATTCAGGCCACCACTTAGGCGTTGCCCACCAGATGTTAGACCAAAGCTGACGGATCATGAGCTAACGTACTTGAGGAAGCTTGCTCGTCCTTTGCCAACTCATTTTGTGCTCGGTATTTCGTTCTTGCTTTTGTAATTTGTGGCATGTTAAAGTTAGAGTGGTTTGTTGTTCGAGTCTGACTATTTTATTGCCATGTAACCTCAGCGAGAAATAGAAAACTCCAAGGATTGGCTGAAGCAGTGGTTAAATTGTGGGAGAAATGTCATATCGCAAAAATTGCTTTGAAATGGGGAGTCCCAAACACAGACAATGAGCAAATGGCAAGCGAACTCAAGGTAAGTGGTATTCATGATTGAAACGGCCTATCTAATTTCATAGTCGCTATTGATAGCAATTGTAGATTTTAGTCTAACTGGTGTTTAATGAAATCCTCTGGTTGTTATGCAGAGACTCACTGGAGGAATTATTCTATTACGTAATAAATTCCTTATAATCCTATATCGAGGGAAGGACTTTCTTCCTTCTCAAGTGGCAACACTAGTGGCAGAGAGAGAAGCATTACTTATGAGACATCAATTTCATGAAGAATCTGCTCGGCTAGAAACAACTGAAATCTTTTCTGCAACATATGAAACTTCAGTGAACTCTGACATACTTGGAACTTTGTCAGAATTCCAGCTTTTCACAGATTATGCAAAACAGGAAGTTAGAAACGATGAGGTGAAGGTTCAGATGGAGACTCAAAAGGCTGGATTGGAAAAAGAACTGAGAAATCAAGAGTGGAAGCTTTTCATGGTAAGATATTACCTCTTGACCTTTTCCCTTTGTGTATGGTTGCTGTGGAATGAAAGATTTGTTTCTACTTGGTTTCACAGCTCAAAAAGAAGATAGAAACATCAGAAAAGGTATTAGAAAAGTTGGATTCTGCATGGGAACCTTCACAGCAGGATGACGATAAGGAAATAATAACAGAAGAGGAAAAGGAATGCCTGCGAAGTATAGGATTAAAGATGGATGGAAGTTTGGTCCTTGGTAATAACAAGCAAGAGTCTTTTTCTGCCATTTTCACATATCCATTATTGAGTTTAAATTGATCATAATAGACTCAACTCTACTGTAAACTTATTGTCCATTCTTGATAAAATATTTCCAAAATTTTAGTTTTATTGTGATGACTGCAAATTTTCCTTCAGGAAGGCGTGGTGTTTATGGTGGTGTAATTGAAGGTTTGCATCAGCACTGGAAGCACAGGGAAGTTGCGAAAGTTATCACAATGCAGAAAACATTTTCTCAAGTTCTTCAAACTGCACAGTTTCTCGAGGTAGAAAGTGGTGGGGTTCTGGTTTCTATAGACAAACTTAAAGAAGGCCATGCTATAATATTATATCGTGGGAAAAACTATAAACGTCCAAAGTTGGCACCTCAAAATCTTCTTACTAAAAGAGAAGCATTGTTCAAGTCACTTGAAATGCAGAGACTTGGAGTAAGTATATCTATTTCAAATACTTCGTTAGAGGTACTCTGAAAGATTTAAACGGTTTTGTCAGTACTAGAGCTAAGATTGTTTCGTCTTTTTCTATTTCAGTCATTGAAGTTTTATGCAAATCAGAAAGAGCAGGCTATCTTGGATTTAAAGCGCAAACTGGTATTCCTCTCTATCTCTAACTTGTTCAAGACATTTACAACATTTTGATTAAAAAACAAAACAAAATGCACTTCAAATAAGGAAAAAAGCTAACTTGAATAAAATTATGATTTCCAGCAATGGTTAGGAGAAAACAACAGGAAGGAAGACCCTTTCTTGCATCAAATTTCTGTGGTAACTGATGATGTAGAGAACAGCTGAGGGAACTCGGTTGGAGGACAGAAAACTGGTTTGGGTGGAATCTGCAAGGAGCCAATGCTTCCCTCCAACATCTCCACCACTCTTCTTATGGAAGGGCGGTCTGCTGGATTTGTTTGGATGCACCACAAACTAACCAAGATCATCTTCATTGCCATTTCTTTATCCTCCTCATCTGTGATGCCTTCAAGACTGAAATCAAATCCTTGCTCCAGATGCTCATATATCCAATCCGGGAAACACGAGTCACTTGTCTGATCCGTGTCTGCTTTCTCCCTTACTCCAGCCATGTCAATAACAGTCATGCCATAGCTATAAACATCAGATTTGTGCGAGACACTTCCAATGCTTCTGAAGAAAACTTCTGGGGCCATGTATCCTATTGTTCCTCTACCAAACGTTGATAGAGATACAATGCTCTCCTTTTTCTTGCACAGTTTTGCCAGGCCGAAATCAGAGATTTTGGGGGTGAAATCCTTGTCCAAAAGAATGTTGTTAGGTTTAATGTCAGAGTGCATGATTCTTGTGTTACAACCTCCGTGCAAATATTCTAGTCCTCGGGCAATGCCAATTGCAATCCGGTACAATGTCTTCCACTCCAACCGACAACTCTTATCTGGTGATTCCTTGTTGTCTATGTACTTGTCTAATGATCCATTCGGCATGAATTCATATATCAACGCTCTTTTCCTCTGATAACAGAATCCTACAAGAGTAACTATGTTCATGTGGGAAGTTCGACAAATGCTAGCAACTTCATTGATGAAATCTTCTCCATTACCCTTTGCGTTGGTCAATAGCTTCACAGCTACTGGGCACCCATCAGGTAACTTTCCTCGGTATACACTACCAAAACCCCCTTCTCCTATTTTGTCATTGAATGAATTGGTCATCTTCTTTATATCGGAATAAGTATATAGCTTGGTAGCATGAAATTCATTAGCCCTTATGAATGCTTCAATGTTTTCCAGCTTTTCATCTCCCCTTCTCCAGAAACTTCTCCTTTTGAGAAAGCAGATTGTAAGCACTGAAGTTAGTATTACTCCAAGTAAGCCAAACATGGGAACTGCAATTTTCACACCAGTGCTAAGCCCTTTTTTAGATTCTGCAAGAGGAAATAAATGTTAAAATGTTTGCAAAAGACTGATGTTTTGGTCACTATTTGAATTGTAGTTGAAGAGGTTAAAGGCCAAGGATGTTGTGGATAGATATCGCGGTGACTGTTAGTGCTGCATTGCTGATGTTGAAGATTATTTCTATGTTCTTGATTGGATAGTTATGTATGGGGCTAAGGGTGCCATTACAGCAATCTAGTTGAAAGCCAGGATAATTGCAGCAGCAGAAGATAGGGCTATGAAGAAAAATTTGAGACGAACATTAGAATGCATCTTTCAGGGGCAAGAAGAAACAAGATTTGACCTGCCTCAAATGTTGAAATGTACTTGAAGATGAAACTTTAAAATCTCAGAGAGCTGAAATTTCAAGAAACCTCAGTTTTTTATTTTTATTTGTTTTGACGAGGAAAACTCACAGCCACTACCTGTGAGTGTGTATCGAGTAAACCTCACATTGTGAACCTAGCCGGAAAAGGACCTGAGAGTAAAACTTACAATTTTATAGTTACCAAGCCAACAGTCTGACCAACTTGGCTGAGTTGCCTCAGAAACTCAACCAAAATCACAATATTATAGACTATTTGAGAAACTTAGTTCTATATTTCCTAGATTTAACTTGATCTGAAAATTTTAAAATTTTGTCAGCTTGTGAACACATGGATGGAAAGTTAGACAAGAAATCTAGTGCCATTGGGCACTAACCATTACAAAATAAAGATGATTTTTGGGAGTAACAAGGAAAACCTGTAGCCACTATTCATGTGTGTGTACAGAGTAAATCTCATCTTGTGATTTTAATCGGCAAAGAACTACAATGAGGTAAACCAGTCAAGGTCTGCAAAGAACTACAAAGAAGTAAACTAGTCTAGGTTGCACATATTTAACTGACTCAAACCAAAATAGCTGAGATTCAAACTCGTGACCTTGTGGTTAGTGGTTAAAGTTTGTATTTTTATTTTTTTAGTCATCTTGGATGGGATTTTATTGCAGCATGGAGAAGGGAAGGAAGCATACCAATGGTACCATTGCTATAAGTATTAGCCTGACTGTGAATGCGAGTGCAGATCGATGAAGAAGAAGTTCCATTAACACAGAAGCAAACAAATTCCGATGAATTCATCCCACCGGAACCGCATCGTCCCCCTGATCTCACGCACTCCTTGCATATCTCATCATTTGCCTTCCACTGCACTGGAAAACCACTAGCAATGGAGCTTCTCACCACCTCCTCAGAAAATCTGGAAGCTTCACCTAAAACCTCAAAACCCCCTTCATCCACAGTAGCAGAGATCTCATTCCCGCACGTTATATCCACCAACAAATCCGTAACGGGCGACGCCCCGAGCCCAAATCCATTCAAGCTGGAATTGCCTTCACTGCAGTTGAAGATGCCGCCGGGAACTGAACCAAACGCCGCACGGGTTGTGCCGTTGCAAGCCGAGCCGCCGGGATTGCCTTCACTGCAGTCGTATTTGAAGACGATGTTGCAATCGTCTCCACTGCAGTTGAAGATGCCGGGAACTACTGAACCAAAGTTACCAAACGATGAATGGCTTGTTGTGGCGTTGCAATCCAAGCCCAGATTATTGGCTTCACTGTAGTTCAAGACTGAGAAGTGGTAGGAAATTCGACCAATTGAGACGCGGTTTTTGATGGCGCAACCGTAGAACAGAGTGATGTTGTGATAGCCAGAAGGGACGTAGGTGAAGAGGTTGAAGTCCAAGGATGAGTTTTGAAGATGCAAGGGACAAATGTTGTTGTTTAACAGATCATCTCTGGCAATATTGGCTGTCTGGGAATGGTTGGTGATGTTAAAGATTCTGTACTGCACTGACCGGATTGTGATCTCCGGGAACTCGTTACGGCAGTTCAACTCGAAACCTGGGTGGCCGCAGAATGCCGGGCGGCTTCCTCCCCAGAAAGGGTAGCCTATGTTTTCAATATTGGCGCAGTTGAATGGCTCGCCGCAGGTTACATACTCACCAGGACTGCTATAATTATTTTGACAGAAAGTTGCAGGCGCCTGGATCAAGATGAGGATTGTGATGATTGAGAGCAATGGTTTAATACTAAGATTAGAACCCATTTTTCACAGAGAGGTTGGCTATGGCTCTGACCATGAAACTGTTAATCATCTATGATGCTGCATTGAATCAACTTGAAGGCCCAACTGCTGAGAGTCTTCATTTCTTGACTTACGGGACAAGCCAGTCTTCATTGACTTTGAGGTCAATAGGTCAATGCCAATGCTTAAATGTTTTCTTGGCCCCACACTCCTGTCTGACAGAACATGTGCCTTAACTCAGTGACTTAGCAGACATGACCAAATCGAAATTTAATAAGGAGAACAAGAAACACACCCCCCAACGAGGCATTTTACTGAAATTTATAATTTTAAAAAGTACGGCTTGTAAAGTCAAACATTAAATTCTGAATGGATAAATTTTTTTTCCCACAGTAACCAACAATTTCCCATGTATAATCATCTATTCACTATAAAATTTGTTTTACCACAATAAGTTTCAAAAATTAATTATACAAAAAAAGAAAAAAACAATAGGGGTTGAGCCTCCCAGGGAGGTGTGATGTTTGGGAAAATAAGAAAAACGCCTCCATGAGATCGCATGTTGGAATTTCATTCTTCTCAGTTCTCACTGACTAATGAGGGGGGGGGGGGGGGGGGGGGGGCAACGAAATATTTTATGCTACCATAAAAAAAACAGAATATTCATATCAACAAAGAATTTTTATAGTTTAGATATTTAATTTTTTGATGGCAACTGTATAATATAACAATTATCAATTGCACATTTTTATGGTGGTCAAATATGTTAGTTTGCAATGCCTCCCAACTCTATTAACAAATCCTACACAGACTGTCATTCCACTTGATGTGCATAATGGATTTGATGTCGTAGTACTTATGATACAACATGCAATGGGTCTAAGTTCTAAACACTGCGTAGAAATAACCAGAAGATTGATCTTCGACACTCCAATGGGTCATATCCATAGCGCATACCGCATTGAACACTGGAAGAGTGGCAATACTTCATACAACAAACGTCATGTCTTGGTGAATTGCATGATTATGTTACCCCAGAAGTAAATGTTGTGCCACAAATTCCAAATGCTGCAGCATTTGGTGCATACGAAGAGTATGCTGATTTTAGTAACTTTGGTGCTTCAATCGCCCAACATCATGTTAGTAGTGCTAGCACTTCTTTGCCAACAACATCTCACCTAGTTGAATTGTCGGAGAGTACGAATTCAGAACACGAAGAGATACTCTCACAAAGTTTAGATAGTTTGGATGAAGAAGATACAAATGACCATTTTTCATTCGACTTCGGGTCATTTCTGGAAACACATGAAATTAGTTTTGAAGATGAGCGATGACAAGGAAAAAGGGTTGATGATTCTGAAATTACTTACTATCATGCTCTAGTTTCATTTAATACCGGCTATAGTCAACAAGACGATGATGAATCAATGTTGTCGTACGACCCGACAACAAATGTGCTCAAGGCCGGAGTGATTTTCACGGGGTTTGACAAGCTATACCATATTCGGCACAAAAGATAATTCAGAAAAAAGCACAAGAAAAGCACGCCGTGGCGAGTGGTGTGTTTTAATTACTATTCGGCAAAACAACCATATTTTTGGTCATTGTCTGCATGAAAATTGCAAGGGGCATTTGATGAATGGAAGATCACAAAGTACACTGGCACCCACATCTGCGAACGTGATTTCAACCATGGTGGGGTTGACAAATTAATCATAAGTAGACTAATTGCCGATTTGGTTTTTCCTTTGTGAGAGTATCTCTTTGTGCTCTGATTTTGTACTCTTCGACGATTCGACTAGGTGAGAAGTTGTTGGCAAAGACGAGCTAGTAGAAGTGTCTCCACTACTAACATGATGTTGGGCGATTGAAGCACCAAATTTACTAAAATCAGCATACTCTTTGTATGCACCAAAGGCTGCAGCATTTGAAATTTGTGGCGCAACATTTACTTCTGGGGTAACATAAACATGCAATTCACCAAGACAAGATGTTTGTTGTACGAAGTATTGCCACTTTTCCAGCGTTGCAATGCGTTATGCGCTATGGGTATGACCCATTGGAGTGTCGAAGATCAATCTTCCGATTATTTCTACGCAGTGTTCAGAACTTAGACCCATTGCATGTCGTATCACAAGTACTACAACATCAAATCCATTATGCACATCAAGTGAAATGATAGTCTGTGTAGGACTTGTATAATAGAGTTGGGAGGCATTGCAAACTGACATATTTGGCCACCCAAAAAATGTACAATTTGATAATTGTTGTATTGTATACCCTCCATCAAGAAATTTCTAAACTATAAAAATTCTTTGCTGATATTAATATTTTGTTATTTTTTAAGGTAGCATAAAATATTTCGTTGCCCATTTTATAATGTGAGAAGAATCGAATTCCAAATAACATGCATCTCATGGAGATAATTTTTTTTTTTTTTTTTTTTTTCCCAAACATCACGCCTCCTTGGAGCCCAACCCTTAGTTTTTTGTATAATTAATTTGAAACTTATTGTGGAAAAACCAATTTTATAAGGAATAGATGATTATATATGAAAAATTGTTGGTTATTATGGGAAGTTACACTGTTTTAAAGAGAAAATTACACTTTTGGTCCTATGACTATAGGGGTGGTAATTTCAGTTCGTGACTTTTAAAACTAACAAATTTAACCTTTTAGTATGCTTTTTTTCACACATTTAGTCCTTCCGGCCAATTTGTCGGTAGATTTTGACCGGAAAAACACATTCATTTGTTTATTAATTTTTTTTTTTGGGGGGGGGGGAGGGGGGGAGGTAAAATGGTCACTAATGTCTGAGATCACACTCTGTACATCTTCTTCCTTCTTAAACCAGAAAAACACATGGTCGTTTAGAGCATATTCTGGTTTGCAATCCACCTTCCAGCTCCATGAAAGTTCTTGGATAGCTCTCATGCCGGGAAACCGGCCTGCAAATCTACCCAACAAGCAGTATGTCTTGACTTCTTCAATCTCCAACACCTCATCCTTCTCAAGTTGGAAAATTTCTTCTTCAAATTCAATAAATTCCAGCCTGCAATCCTCACTCTCCATCGCATTCCCAACAACAATCGGTCTCTGAATATTCATTCTGTTGGCCGTAGCTGTGGTCTGTTTCTTGTTAACATTTTGTTTTGGAACCCACTGCAATTTTCTTGTGCCAAACACTTCATTCTTATCCGCCCCATTATCCATCGAAAAAGTATATGTCGAACCCAGCGTACGGGAGGCAGATGAGTCAACTGTGTTCCCGCCCATCTGTTGACCGTTCATGTTCACCGGAACAACTGAAGACCCTGCGATATCCCTACCTGAGAAGCCATTGTTCTCCCTCGTATTACTAGTTCCCAGATTCCGTTGGGTACCCTGAGCATTAACCACCCAGAAATCGATCGCACAACCCCTGTTCCGACATCCAAACTCACCGGAGGATTAGCAACTGTAGCAAGCTGACCAGTCGTGTTCAACACAGACCCCTGAACCCCATTCGCACCTCTACTCACCAGCGCAAAGTTATCGGACGTGTTTCCAGTCCTTAATTGACGTTTAAGGTGGACGTTATTTAAGGTGGGAAATATAAGCCACCGTTTATCCCCTTTTTTCTTAGACATTGGTGACCATTTTACCCCCTAAAAAATTAATAAACAAATGAATGTGTTTTTTTGGCGAAAATCTACCGGCAAATTAGCCAGAAGGACTTAATGGGTGAAAAAAAAGCATACTAAAAGGACTAAATCTATTAGTTTTAAAAGTCACGAACTGAAATTACCAACCCCTATAGTCATAAGCTCAAAAGTGTAATTTTCTCATGTTTTAAATTATAAAATCAAGTAACATGCCTCAATGAGAGTCATGTTTCTTGTTCTCCTTATTAAATTCTGATTTTTGTTGGAACGAAACAAACTTTATGGATAATTGATGCTCATACATAGAAAATTGTTAATTAATTAGGGAAACGAATATAATTGGAAGTTATATTTCTATTAACATCTAATATTCCAACATGGACATGAGACGTTATTTCGCCTATACCGTTAACGAAAAAAAAAATATTGTATGCAATTGTAATACATACAATATCAAATTGATACGCATGTTTTGCAGCGCCATCGTGGGTTAAATATTTACAAATGCTAGGCTCAAATGTGTTGGAGCTAATGTTTTTTCAAGACTGTCAAGGTGCCAAAGGATATACGACGGAGATCCTACATCACGGCCTACAAGTTATTATTTATCAATCACGTAACTCATTTTATTTAATTACTTTTTTCACGTGGCGGAATCGCCCTCCGTCCTGCCCTTGTGGATGGGCACCACGTGCCGCGCATGGCGGGAGACCGGCATGTGCCATGTGCTCCCTTCATCATCCTATAAAGACCGCATTAAATGCTTGAAGGAAGACTTTTGGCATCTTCAACACACTTACATTTAGCTCGTGACCCTGTGATTCATTGTCATGCTACCCAAGCCTAAAGACTTAAACTAACAAGCATACTAGAAAAAGAATCTGCTTATGGTCCGACCTTAGTACTTGTACGTATTTGTGAGGACCATTGTATACAACACATCACTCTTGTTTTTAGCTTGCAATGATCAAAAGCATTTGCCGGGTTTTACTACATGCACTATCAGTATTAAAATTACGTCGCCAGTAACAATGGTAATTATATCAATATAATTTCGTTATTATGTGTTTCTATAATTTAATACATTCAATACAGTTATCTTTGATACATTTAATACATTTTTTTTTCTAGAAAATTCCAAATTGCATGCATCGTCATCTAATGCAAAATTTGACTACAAGTGCTATTTTGCACCATGGTCGCTCGGTAGGAATTGAAGTTACCATTGAGAACAGGCACTTCACTACAAGAACGTCAAATTTCAAGATAGAGAATGATTTATATCATGGAGACATTGTACTTTTTAGACATATTGGTTTCTTCACTTTTGAAACTTTTTTCTACTATGGCTACAAAAGCGCCACCTACTTCAACGGC